CCTCCCAGAGTGCTAGGATTACAGGCGTGAGCCACCGCGCCCGGCCAGCAGAGAATTTTTTAACACAGTATTTTGCTTTAGATGCTTTGGGCTTTCTATTAATAGATTTCTTTACAAAGTGTGTGTGTAAGGGGATTATCATTCTAGAAAAACTCAGGAAAAGCCTAGAAAATTCAGAAAGAGAGAAATTCTTATGGGATTGGTTCTCTGGCACTAAACACATTATTCTGATAGAGAAGCACCCCTCCCCCACCAAATACAACGTGTGCTGCATAATCCTGGTTCAAATAGCTACCGAAAGAAGAAAATCGTTAGTACCAAGGTAGTCCTCAGAGTCTGTTCTTTCTAGATGCAATTAAATTTAGGGAGAAAGGAGAATAACCACTTAGTAACTATTTACTTTGTGCTAGGAATGGTATTAGGTGGCTTACATGCACTACTGAATGTATTCCTTTCATCAACACTATGAGGTAGACATGATTATTCTCATTTAACAGACTAAAGGTCTGAGGGGTCAGGTGCCCAGGGTGAATTGGTGAGTCCAGATGCAAACCCACGTCTACCAGACCCCAAGGGCATACATCCACACCACGTGAAGCTGATTTCCCCATTCAAGAGTTTCGGCACCTTTATCGGCTATCAAAAAGCTCAACATGCCTGAAACATGATTATAACTTCTACCATCTACTTGTAAATCCTACAAAAACGAAAGTTGTTCTCTTCCTGCTTAATTGTTTTAGTTCATATGGTCAGCAAAAATATGTGTAATAGCAGGATAAATTCATTAAACAATGCCTTTTGACCCCAATGAGTTGGGCATATCTTTTAAAAATAACAAATAATAATGAAGAGTAAATGTTCATTAATTTACAGGACGTCACAATGGTGATAAAAGACTTCCCTGTTTCTCTTCATGTAAACACCCAAATCAATATTCCTAACCCTTGGCCTCATGGATGCTATAAGACTACTTCTAAAGACCCGGTGGACCAGCAGCCAACTGACCTTTTTCCCCACCTTACCTAGGACTTTAGGGCCATCCTGGCTCAGAGTCAGGTTGGTGGCTGAACTGACAACACCATTTTCTAGACTAGAATAAGGCGGGGAGAGTAGAAAGGCTACTCCACAGAATTTAAACGGGGCTTCCCTTTTAGAAAGTAACACTATAGTTAAAGAACTAATATGGAGGGATACTACTTTTCCTTATTTATATATTATTAATGATGATGTTTTAGAATAATACCCTTTTCAATAGGCACACATGAAGGAATTAAGCCAGGCAGGGTCCTTGAAATAATAATTTGCCCACCACTGCCACTTGTTGAGAAACCCTTTTCACTGTGGCAATCTAAAACCAACCTTGTAAAACACACTATGTAGAAAATTCAATAATAAAAAAAGGACAATTTCTTTAGAAAATTCCTAAAGTATTAGCTAACATATCAAAAGCCAAATCTCTATAGCAATTATTTATTCATTTATGACACAGAGTCTGGCTCTGTCACCCAGCTGGTGTGCAGTGGTGCAATTATAGCTGTTACCTCGAACTCCCAGGCTCAAGTGATCCTCTCTCCTCAGCCTCCTGAATAGATGGCACTACAGATGCGTGCAACCACATCTGGATAATTTTTAAAATTTTTGTCGAGGTGGGAGGGTCTTACTATATTGCCCAGGCTGGTCTTGGACTCCTGGCCTCAAGTGATCCTCCCGCTGTGGCCTCCGAAAGGGCTGCAATTACAGTTATGGGCCACCACACCCAGCCTCTAGCAATATCATTTAAATGCTAGATTACACTGTTCCTTCCTGGCTATCCATATGAACCCCTAAGTATGATTTAAAAAAAAAAATAACAAAAATTAATGCTTATGCTTATCAAGTTTTAGCGTTCTCTCCTGGTTGCACAGGCTGACACACCTGGCAGAGTTTTGACAAAAGCTAGTCTGTATCATTCTGTTTGGGGTTGGATGGCTGTTCGTGTAGATCCTTCACATGCACTTGTCAAGCACACGCGAGGTGTCACTCCTATCGGACACGAGAGTCCAGCACCACAATCAGTGAGAATGTAGATAACAGTACCCTTTGTTGCTATTCCCAAAGTCAAGCTGTACTTCCTTTATTTTAATGAATATGCCCTTGCAATTTAATTTGAGGGAAGAGATAATAAATAAACTAAAACAATTTTGGAATTACATGGCCAGATAAATATCAGTTATCTTTTTTCCATATGTTAAATCATTGCTATATACTTTCTTTTTTTTTGAGCACTTAACAATTGTGTTGGAGAAAGGACATCAAATGATGCTTAGAAATGTGATACACATTTTCATTTCACACTCCATCAGCTTTTACAACTGTAGCTCAATGAAATGTAAGAGAGAGCTTGGCAAACAGCCATATTTACCAAGGTATAAAATAGGGGTCAGGTTACTTTTTTATAGAAAGAAAAAAAATGTTTAATTTTCACTCCCATGACTAAAGTAGATATCCAGCTAACACCCTACAAAAAGGCACCATAACCACATATACGACATGGTTTAGTGCCTGTTCAACTGTACGTTTTTACTATATTATAAACAGCTTTGTAAGGCAAGAAAACACTCCTTTCCTCATCCCTTTCCCTCAGGAGCTACTGACACAGAAACATACTGGATCAGATCATCTTCGATGCTAAATCTTCCACCTGCAAATAATGGCTTTTACCCTCTGCTTCTAGCCTGGAAGAAGAAACAGCTTATTCCCTTTATAGGCAGAGAAGCAAAGCTATAGGCATCAGCAAAAACACATCTTTCTAATTCAGATTTCAATCTGTCAGAAAGGATTAAAGCCTCATGCATACATAAAAAGGGAACTATAAATGATAACAGAAACATGGTCTGGAATCACTGTGCTTCCACAGCTGCCATTTTACTAGCAGGGTAGAGAGGAAAGCATCTTTTACTTACCTTTGTTAAACCTGAGACTTCTCCCTTTGCTAACGGTTTGCTGATGGATGGCGTGTATACTTTGGCGTCCGATACTGGCTGCCCTTTCATAAAATGTTTTCCTGATTCATAGATGTCCACTTCAACCATTTTCCCCATGAATGAGGAGTTCTTTGGCACTAAAACCTTGAAAAAAAATTTTCCCAGAAGGCTTAATTTTTAAAAATA